AACCTATACAGGTTATAGTCATTTTTTTGAAAAATTGTTGCAAATGGAAATACTACCTTTTGAAAAATCACTCCTCATTTGACTATTATTTGATATATTAACTTTTTTATGCAAATGATGTTTCTGTGGCCAGGATTAGTTTTGAATTAGCATTAACAGTATTCATAAATTTTTAGTTTAGTACATTTTGTCATTTTTATACAAATATTGTTGTATCTTTTATTAATAATTAAGTATAGCATAACACATAAATGACGTTTAATATAAAGGGTGTTCAAGTAGGTAGTCCATTAGAAGTTTCTAGGGAAGCTCACAGGTTTGTTGATACAAAATAGTATTGAAAATATTAGAAATTGTTAAATGTCTCTGAAATTTTAACTTTAGGAAACAGTTATTATAATACCAATCGAAAGATTATTTAATTTTCTATTTGATTATGTTAAAACATACAGGGTTTTACATTTAAAATAAATACGTTATTATTTTTTGAAGTTTCCCTATTAAAAATGCCCTATAGAACCCATATTGATCCAGATAAGGAAACTAATATGGATTTATATGGTTCTATATGTCCTATATGGAACGACCTGGTTTACATTTTGGAATCTATATGGTTTAATATGGAATTTCATTTTAAAATGTACAACTTAGGGATTTTTATATGGATTTATCTGGTTTCTGTTTTATGTGTCTTTCCATATAGGTTTCCCTATATGGTTGAATATGGAAATCCATTTTAAAATGTATATAAATTTAAACGAAAATTGCATATTAAACCATATAGATTCCCCTATATGGTTAGATATGGATCTATATGGTAATAATTTTTTCATACCCAAAACCATATTGGGCCAGATAGAGCAGTTCATATTGCTATATGGCAATCCATATAGAATAGAAAAAAACCTTTAAAAAAATTAAATTATTTAAACAATGTTTTAATATTCCAAAAATTCCAACCCCATGTCAGCAACATTATCTTAATAAAACTAGATAAAAGAATATATACTTTGTAAAACACGTTAGTATTATGCCCTTTGAAGGCCTAACTTAAAAATGATGTCTCTTGTAGAAACATAATTTGCATGTAGAAGTTTATATATCAAATAATAGTTAATTATCAGTACTTTAACGTGATATACTCAAAATTATAAAACAACGTTGCTTCTACGATTTTTTAACCCTTAAAAATTGGTAAAATTTTAAATTAAATTGTCCCCAGCGCCCCCTGTATCTTAAAATATAAAAAAATATTAAGTACGTGGATTTATTGCCATTAATAAGGTTTACATTTAATCTTAATTTCAAATCGATCCGTTTTTAAATAAAAATGTTATTACAAAATATCGAAATTTATCTATTTTTAACACAGTAGAGTGACTTAAGACCTGAAAACCACAGCGGTCAATGGATGAAATTTTTGTTTTGAAAAAAATGCACCATTTAGATGTAGAAACAAGGTTTTTAAAATATATTCAATTCTGGCATCACTTGCAAACAAATTTCCAAAATTTGTTCGATTTTTACGCGAAACCATAGTTAAAACCCTACCCTGCTTAAAATACCCCATAGAGACCTATACAAAATAATCTATCGGGCGCTACCGGATTCAATATGTGCATTTGTCCATGGTTTTTTCCGGATACAGCCCGATAGAAAATGTATAGGAAATTACCTATAGGCACACCATAACTTTTACATTTTCCCTATTGAGACCGATAGAAAATAACTCAATGAAGGATATATAGGGATATCCCTATAGAGCAGTGGTTCCCAAACTTTTTTCTTTGGCGCCCCCTTTTTAATACCATAAAGAGATAACGCCCCCCTGACCCGGATTATATAAATAGAAACTATACGTTCGCTAGATTAAAACTTATTTATTTAAAATAATAACATTTAGAATAACTAACCTAATGCGAAGGGTGGTGCTGCATTTCCTTAACAAGGTGTGAAATTATTGTGTGCAGCGCAGGTCGCTAGCAACATCAAGCCGGTTTCGTTGTTTTGTCTTAATTTCCACCAAAACAGAAAATCCTTTCTCGCACAAGTAGGTCGTCGAAAATGGTATATAAATTTTCAAAGCCATTTCCGCGATTAAAGGATAGTTGGAAAAATATTTTATCCAAAATGAAGTAATTTCCAAATTTTCAAAGTCATTTTTCGCTACTGAATCGTGTTTTAAGTCGATTGCTTGTTCTTGCAAGTGCTCTGCAAGGATATTTAAATCAAAATTAAAAGGATTTCGTGCAAATTTATGTTCGTCATTGTCGTTTAAATTGGGAAAATATCGTTGAAATTCGTCGAAGAGACTTTCTAAATGAGGTATAATATTAGTTATAATATCTTCATTTTTAGTATTGCCATTGTCTATTAATGAAGCTAATCTTGAAAACGAAGAAAAATTTGGTGTCCCAGCTTGCAGACGACGTTTCCATAATATCAGCTTTTCTAAAAAGGCTTGAATGGCATCGTGATGGGTTATTATATTTGCTGAAATGTTGCTTTGCAACTTTAAATTAAGGATGTTTAATGCCTCAAAGATATCAGTTAGATAAGCTAATTTTATTTAAAAATTTTCATCAGCAAACGCTTCCAATAACTGTTCCTTTTTTTGTTGTCTAAGGAATTGCTGTACTTCCGCCCTTAAGTCAAATAGTCTGGATAACATATTTCCCTTGGAAAGCCAGCGTACCTCCGTATGGAATAGAAGCTTTTTATGTTCTGAACCCAAATCAGAACAAAGAGTTTCGAAAAGCCTGGTGTTTAAGGCACTACTTTTTATAAAATTAACAACTTTAATAGCTATATTTAATGCTTCGTTAAAGCTGTTTGAAAGCGTTTTAGCCGCCAGAGCTTGTCGATGTATAACACAGTGAATTCCTGTTATATTGGGATTTTTATTTTTTAATAATGTAACAAATCCAGAACGCGATCCTAGCATCGAAGGAGCACCATCTGTGCACACACCAACAAGTTTTTCCCATAAAATATTATATTTTTCAAAAAATTCAGAAATTGCATTCATAATATCAGCAGCTTTTGAAGTCGTTTTCATCTCCTGTGAGAACAGGATCTCTTCCGTTATAGCACCATCATAAATAAAGCGCACTTATATATACCATTAGCTGACAACATTGCGCTATATCGGTACTTTAATCACACTGAATTGCAAAAAAGGCGATTTTCTGACAGCTTCCACCGTTTGACTGTATTATTCGAAAGTGAAATTGCGAAAGCTTTGTTTTGCTGCTGGAATCAAGAAGAACATCAACAGCTTTTAAAAGGCAAGGTTTAATGAGCGTTTCACCAATAGTATGAGGCTTTTTTCTTTTGCAATAAGCAGCGCAAGTTCATATGAGGCTTTCACAACTTTTTGAATTACTTGAGAAAATTCACCAGTATTGTCTAACTTCATACGTTTTAAATTTTGAACCTTAGCATGAAAAAACTCTTTAGGTTTTTCTTTTAGTGCACCATGTTTTGTAGATAAATGTCGTTGAAGGCGTGTATGTCTCATAGCGTCGTTACTAAGAACGTCATAACATAAAACACATTGTGGACAATCCACTCCATCCTTTACCATAACTGCAAACCCGTACCTAATATACTCTTCCATGTACTTTCTTTTTTTAGTGCTAGTAGATTTAGCAGATTTTATAATAAACTAAAAAAAAGAAAACAAAAGTCACACATTAAAAATGGCTAAAAACGTGCTGACTACCAGAAATACATCCTTTCGAAATAAATTTAAAAAACAGTTTTTCTTGTAAAAAGCAATACTTGTAAAAGACACGCTTAAGGATAAATACTTACCTTTATTATTAATTAAACTAGGGTCAAACAATATAAGATTATAATACGAGTAACAAGTAAAAAATATCAACGTTATCGAACCAAATTTTTAATTAAGGCAAAGGCGTAACGTCCCGTACCTCTGACGATCGAAACGGTGAACCATAGAAAAAGGATAAAGAGACTGATCACTGCGAAGGAACGAAGACTGATCACTGCGCTCGCGACCGCCGCAGACCCTGGCTGGGAGCGAATGTCGTTGACCAATGGCGTGGCTAGGCGTTGTTGCCGGATCCTTAACATTTTCCTTTTTTATGAATTGGTCAAATATGATTTTTTGTTATTTTAAAGCTAATAATTTTTATTAATACTTTAGGGTTCTTGCGCCCCCCTTAATATTGCTTGGCGCCTCCCTAGGGGGGCGCGCCCCCCAGTTTGGGAACCACTGCTATAGAGCAACCATAAAACATTTGACAAAATTTTATTAAAACCTATGGGGACCTATAGGGAAAAAACTAATTTCTACATTTATGTGTATTTTCCCCATTGAAACTGATAGCAAATAAATCCATGGTGGATATCCCTATAGAACAACCATAAATCTCAACTATGGGTCCTATACAAACCGATACACCCTATATAAACACCATACATCCCGATACAAATATCTATCGGTTTGAACAGGGTCTCTATGGGGTATTTTAAGCAGGGTAGTTAATATATTTTTATATATTTGTATATTTTTTTAAATACAATAATTTTTAAATGATTGTACTATATCATGATTACATGAGGTTGGCAACCTGGGTCATACTTCTAGTAGCCGTCTGCTATAGTCGTCGCGGCGAATGTTTTAAATTGCGTCATCAATGTCGAATGTCAAAATCCGATTTCTCGACATACGGTTAACCTAGCGGTTCCTTGGATTATATACGTAAAAGAAAACAACAATAATTGTAATGTCTGAGATTGGTTCAGAATTTGATGACGCAATTTGAAACATTTGCGGCGACAACTATACTTATATGTGAGATTATATTAGAAAAAAAACTATATTTCAAATTTGTTTTTAAAGAAAAAAACTATATTTCAAATTTATTTTTAAAGAAAAAAACTATATTTCAAATTTGTTTTTAAGTACTACATTGCGCTGACTTTTGCTGATGCAGACGGCCCTAAATCATTCAATATTTAATGTTTCTTACCCAATGTCATTCCAGTTTTGAGTACTTCCGCCGAAGGCACAGTTCCCTCTCTTCCTAAACTTAAAGTGGCCGAATAGGGCACGAGCTCGCCCGGCAACAACTCGGACATCAGATACGAGAACGAAATGACCCGAACGAGATCGCCGGGCTTCAAAACGCCAGAATTGATCAGACGCAACGCGATCAGATCGGACGCGCTGTTGGACGGCGCGGAAACCAACAATCGGCAGTGGGGAATCATGCGCAGTAGCTGCAGGATGGTTTCGATGATCGTGACCGTTTTACCGGTGCCTGGCGGCCCAAAAATCACGTAGGGCAGCGGTCTGGCAACACCGAGAAGTATATTTTTGACTGCTTCTTTTTGGTAGCAGTTTAAGGATTCGTTGTACCAATCAATGCTTTTGGGTTGCGCTGTTTCTTTTACGGGAGTTTTGTTTTTGAGTTTGTACATTTTTTCCAAGGCCTGGCGACGCGTTATCTGTTTTTCTTCCGATCTAAGGTTTACCTGTATCAATACAAATGTTTATATCAAGTATTATTTTACGTTTTGCTTCGTATTTTAGAAGTAAAATATCTTTTATATTAAATAAATCCTCAACCAATCAAACTTAATTTAAACTAAAAATTATGTTTTACCTGGAGTTCCCTTTCAGTTAGCTGTGTACAAAAAAGAATGTCTTTTCCCAGCATTTTAACAGCTAAAAAAATAGCATGATGCATGGACCTTAAACTGCCTCTGCCGCACACTGCTCTAATGGAATAATCCTCTCCATTATAAGAATCATGGAACATTGGTGAAAACTTTAAGTACACATGGTTGCCGCCGACTTTGTGAATGAACCCTTCAAAATCCTTGTTGTCCTGCTTGGTGGGATCACTGGCAATAATTTTATCTCCTACTAGTAGTGAAGGTCTTCTTTCCTTTAAATTGTTTATTTCCAACATTAAATATTCCCCATTACGAATGAAACAGGCCAAGTCCTGATCATAGTTTTGTAGAGCAAGTTTTTCTGATATTTCCTCCAGATATAATAGCGTGTGGAATTTGTCCTCATAATTCATTAGGGTTAAATTATTAAAGAGACTGGGTTTGTATGCCTGCAATTCTGATTGTATATTGGCAGCATCTCTAAAGGTAAACCGATTGAATATATCTAATAGTTTTCTAGGCAGGGTATAATCAGGAATTTTGACACTACAAAAGCGGGGTGCGCTGGTCACTCTCTGTCCTGCTATTATTTCGTTGCTATAATTATTTAAGTATTTACTGCCTTTTCTGATACATTTAACTGACTCGAAGGAACTTTGTCTTCCTACTGTTATACTAACCCAGTAGCCAATTTTAAATTCCCCAAAATCGATTTCAATTAAATCTCTACTGTCTCCCATTGATTTAGATTCGCAGTCACAACAAATCTTTTTTATTTCCTTAGCATCAAGTGTGTAATCCTGAACATTACTTGTTACTTTACTTTGTGAAGGAGCCTTAAATCCAACCGATTTTATAAGAAATACTTCATCAGATATATTTTCTATAAGGACAAAAAATTGTGTTTTTAAGTTTAGGCCAGTCAGTTCTACACTTTCTGAACTAATATTTATATGTTCATGTGCATAAACTAAGTCAGATTCTTTTACGTCAGTTATTTGTTCTTTTTTTGCAGCTAAAGCTTCAGGAAGTATTTTTAAGGCTCTCCACACACAAGTACCTTGGTCACTTTCTATAATTTCAGCAATTACTTTATCATTTGCTTGAGGAATATACCCATATGGCAAGCAAGTGCTCAAAAAGTAGATATTCTTATTTAAAATCCCAAAATTGTCTTTGGCATTATAAGAAGTAATAACGCAATTTTTAATGTGAGGCCTTACAGCATTTACTTTATCAATTTCCAAAATTTTCCCACTGAAATCTGTGATGTTAATGTCTACTTCGCTTTTAACATGTATTTCAACCCAGTCCCCAATAATAGGTATAAATTCAATGGATATTTTGTCCAAGTCGACGGTAACATCACCTGCAAAAAACAAGAATATCATGATATAAACAGGGTGTTCCGAAAATATGTATACATTGAAATACCACATTATAGAAAAAAGCAGTACAGACAGTCCAGCAATCTAAGGGAGAAATGGGAATAGGTCTCTCTCAGCATCTAAGATGGTCTCAGATTGTTTGTTCTGTTTTGTACTGTTCTTTCTATACTGTGGAAAATTTCAACTACAAATACCATACATCTCTTGGCTCAAAATCTTACCTATTTTCAAAGTTAGGTACCTCATTTAGCTACTAGAGGGTTTTGAAATAAAATGTTAATTGACTTTTTCCAATTTAAAATACATATGTATTTAAATATTTAATTAAAAAAAATATGTTTATAACTAGCAACTAGACAAATTTGTTTGCTTAAGCAGCTATAAGTAGATATAGGTAAGATGAGTTAAATCAACTTATTTTGAACAAAGCAATCTATGTACATTTTTTTAAAACCTGAAAGATTTTAATGTTAATTTTTAAATTTGAAGCATTCATTTATTTTGATTTTGATTCGAAATTATATTTTGTATTAAAAACTAAATTATAGAGCCCACCTATAAAAATAAAATGGTTTTTCATTCAAATTCAAACAAGAAAGAAAATATAAAAATGTATTCTTATTAATATAGGGTCTTCAAAAATCGCCTGATCTAATGAAAGGGGTAGATTCTTTGCAAAAATCTAGGACAAAATTTCCATTACCATTTTTTAATTTGCACAATTGCAGGAGCGCAGTGTTTCTGGACTATTGGGCGAGCCCAGCTTGCAACTACAAGCACCAAATTTGTTTTTGTCTACTTTTTCCTAATAATAGAATATCAGCTTCTTTTGTAAATACAAAAAATATAAAAAAAACTCGCCCAATAGAGCAGAAACACTGTGTTCTCATTGGTGGCTTTAAAAATTAAATAGCCTTATTTTGCAAGACCAAAAAAAGAGAAAATTTGTCTTGGAATTTGAAAAGGAATATTCTTGGAATTTGAAAGTAATATTACCATTACCCTTTGGTCCGTCAATTTTGGGACACCCTGTTGTGGAGACCTGCATGGTCGGATTGACACACCAGTTTTGGGTGTTACACAACCGACTACACAGACACACAACACGAATACCAATGATTCAGTATTGATATGATAACACATTAGTTAAGATGAATTTGATTGTTCAAGTTTATTTATATTAATAAAGTTAAAGTGTATAGGACAAAAGAGTTTAAATACAACCCTAGGCTACCACACCCTGTATATAAAAAATATCTAAAAAAATAATCCAAATATCTAAAAGTATCAATATATTTTTTATAATAATGATAATTATTATAAATACCTAATTAATACAATTACTTAGGTAATTACCTGGTTCTAATATAACATTTCTGTTCTCCCTTTTAACAACTTTACAAACCATTATTCTTGAGCACCATGTTGATTTGCCTGTCTCATCCACATCCCAATCGTTTTCAATAAGCTTAACATCGGTAACTTTAATTGTACAATTGGTTATAAAAATTTTGTACGAAACTCTGGAACCAATATATAAATTTTCTGCGTTAGATTCAAACTCATACAGATCATCAATTTGGTATTTGTTCTCATTCTTAAAAGTTATTATGCCCTTTTTAAGGCAAGTATCATATTCATTTACATTTTCTTCTTCAGGAATTGCTATTGGTTCCAAATTTTCTTCTTCATCTTGATTTAAAATATCACAGGCTTCTTCTATTGACAACAACTTTGGCTTTGAATCCCATATAAACGAAAATAATCGTCTCCAAAAGCCGAACCAGTTAAAAAACATTTCTTCTAATTAAACATAACCTCTACAAGCAAAATTTCAATTCAAACATGCAACGTTATCGTCAATTAAATCTTAAATCTTAAATAAACCACATAAAAAAATCTACCTAAAAAAAGTAATAATATTTAAAATTAAAATAATTCATTTTAAGCCTATTTAATAATTTAATAATAATAGCAAAAGTACTTATTCAGCTAAATTTAATATTGGCGCCTTAAAAAATAATACAATCTGATTGGAGAAGATAAATGTTTAGATGATGTTGATTGGCTAAAAAAGCCCTTTCTCAAGAAGACTAAAGAGTTTGTAGTACAAATATAAAATAATTCATAATTACCATATAATAAATATAACATGTTGTACCTATATAAATTAACACAGAACGTAAATTAATTAGGTTTACGTAAAACATCAGATCTACTAAAAAAATAGTGTACCTGGCAACAATGGATTATTGACGCATGCGTGTCATTCTGTCCAGAAATAGAAAGAAATCCTATGACATTTCTAGAAGATAAACAAAAAATACCCGAAAGTGGTGTGTGCGCGTATAAATTTAAAGTTCCATTATTAATTAAAAGAGGTAATTATTTAACTAATAACTGTTTATGTCCAGTGTTTAATGTTATGGCGGAAATATTTATTTTGGGGCTCTATGATAACAAACAAAAACAACCGTCTTTGATGTTGGAATTTGGAAAACCTTGGTGCCTTTCCAGTTGTACTTTTTAAGGTTTTACCTTTAAACAATCGGTGGTTTACACGCTTAAATATATTATTGATTTTTCTGTGAAAGATGACTCATGCTTATTTTGACATCTGATAAAGTTTTGCTAAATTGTGCAAATCCTAAACATATTAAGGTGTAAATATTAATATTAAATTAATTTTATGTTTATTAATTTATTTGTTGGTGTATATTTAATTAATATGCACAATGATAATGTTTTAATATTAAATATGAATTTTATTTTACAGATTATTAAAGATGGCCTGGCAAGGAGGACCACAGTATTCTGGTAAAACTTCTATATTTAATATCAAATATTTAATATAATGACTCATTATTAAGTAAACCCGTGTAGCTTACACATAGGTAGACACAGAATTTTAAACGACAATCATTCCATTGACATCTAAATCTAAACTGCCTTTATGGACAACTAACCTTACTTCTGGTCAGAATGACACAAGAAAACCAAATTATGTTGTTCTGTGTCCACCACTGCTATGCTCCACACCCAAAAGTCGGTTAAATAACGTGAAATTAGCGTTAAACTGAGATAGATAACCTCAATTTTTGTATTCAAATGTCAAGGTGGGACTTTTGGGGGTTGAGCCAAAGATAATTATCTTTGGGTGGAGCTGCTGAGTGTTGCCAACATGTTGCCAACTTGGTGGAAGTTCCAGTAAATCTGGTGTATTGGGGGCACCATCTAGTGGTGAAATTTGGCAGTTGGTGGAATAGTAGAAAATTAGGTGGAATGGGGTTTTTAAAGTACAAGTAAAAACATTTTGAATTACAAATATAAAAATGAGTTAGTTTTTGTTAACAGATTCATTTTAAAAGTTTTATAAAAATTAAGAAATTAATTTTAAGATGTTTATTATCGAGTGGCAGAATTATATAATTATGATATTCTTACAAATGTACCTAATCATACAAATTAAAAGCAATTAACTTACCATTCTGATTTGGTATTTGAATTAAATATAGATTTTGATATTTTGTTTGTAATAATTATTGACAGGGAATCTTGCAATTTTCTTTATCAGTTTCCAATTTTAACTTTTTTTACAAGCGTACGAAAAGTTCCTAATTTTTATATTGAATCATTTTAGCAATATTTTTTGTTTTTAATTAATTATTTGATTATGATTTATTAATTTTATTCCTGTATTAACTCTGCGTGCGCAAAGTAAGCGTGCGGATAAGTATGACTGCGTACGCGAGTAGAAAAAATCATTTTTAATACTGCTCAAAAGGTTTATTGTTAATTGAGACTTCTCACTATAAAGAACAGTCCCAAATAACAATAAAGTATTAAAAATGATTTATTTTACAAATAACTTTGTTAAGCTAAGAAGTTTTTGGCGCTTGGTTCCTTTTCAATAAACATTATCCATATGTGGGTACACCAGTGTTGCTAAAGGACCATTATTAACACTAGGGCACCCATTTTCTATTTTATATATTAAATCAATATTTAAAAAAATGTGTAATTTATTTAACTTGGAAAAATAGACAGTGGAATTCCAGTAAATTTTAATCTCCCATTTATTGGAAAGTAGATAAGGTTTTTATCATGGAATAATAATAATATTAGCTTATCATGTTTATTTGATACTATTGTTGTTATAACTTATAATCATGGGTTAATGAGAATATATGGGTTGACCACTGTAACAGTGCACTGTTTTTTTTTAATTGTTAAATTTCTTATTTAAATCATTTTTAAAAATATTGGTAACAATATATAAATAACATATTATGTAAAAAGGGTTATTTAAAAAGTACACAAAGTTTTAAGTTATTAGACATTTAATTTTGAGAAACTTGGCATAAGCTGATGTATTCCAGTGAACATAGACCAATTCCTTGTCAAGCAAGTGGATAATTCCACCTTCTACAATGGAGTCAATCCATATGAAAACGCCGAAACTCGTTGCTCGACCATCTTTGATTTTGATCAAATTTTATGGAAATATTCCTTAGGGTCCCAAAGGACAAAATCCACCCTTATTTATTTTTTCGCATGTGTCAACTACCAGGCATTTGAACATTAAGGTAGGGGCTAATTATCCTGTAAATTTCATAATTCTATTTGGAAGTCAACATCCTTATAATGGCCTAAATAATGAGATTTTCTAGAATTTTAAAATTTCAAGCAATTTTTTTGTTTGGAAACCGTATGCCAAACGGGTCAATTGTAAGTTTTATTTTGTCTTTGGTATGTAAACTTTATATATGAAAAAAATTAGCCTAGACATGGGGCGCATTTAAAAAACACGAAAACTTTGTAAAATACACGTTTTTTCAGCACAGTGTAATTATTTAGAAATATTGATTGAGTGAATCTATATTTTTTTTTTATAAAAACTACTATTTTTTAGCTTTAAAATAACATCTTAAAATTTAAAATATCTTTAATAGAAAAAAATTACAGCTTAAATTATTAAAGCATAAAAATGACGTTTTTAAAAAAGTGTTAATTCGAATAGGCCGGATTTGACACATGCGAAAAATTAAATAAGGGTGGATTTTGTCCTTTGGGACCATAATGAATATTTCTATAAAATTTGAGCAAAATTCAAGATGGTCGAGCAACGAGTTTCGGCGTTTTCATATGGATTGACTCAATGGTCATTATAGAAAGAATTTTAAAAAATAAGCTGAGGTTAACATAGTTGATGGATATATGTATTTGATGATTTTAAATTATTACTTTCATCTCAATTTTTTTGTAATAATAATAATAATTTTGTAAAATAATAATAATAGTTAATAACAATAATGATTGATATCAATATTTATAAATATTAAATCAGTGTACAGATAGGTGAAACGACTCTTGGAAAAGGTAAACAATTTTTGATTTAAATTTTCATTTTTTACCTTTTCCAAGAGGGTTTCACCTATCTGGGGACACACTGTATATGCAAATATTTAATTATTATAAATTACACAGCTTATAATTAAAATCCAATTAACTTGTTTTTCTTAAGAGTAGTGTATTGTTTTGTAGTAAGAAAATACAAAAAAAATAACTGACATTTTGAAAAAAACAGTTGTTAACTTTTGTTATAAATTTAGTTTAAAATTTTATAAGGTTAAAAAATTGTATTGCTTTTATTTGTAAGCTTATAAAATAATTATCTTATAACTAGATAATGACGAAAATTGTGGTTTGCTAAAAATAACTGTTAAATAAGGTTAGCCTAAAGTACGTGAAAAATTTAAAGATAACTTAAAAACATACATCTTTTTATTGTCAAGATTGTGCTAATTTTAGTAGATAAACCATAAAATACCTTATTTTTATATTTTGCTGCGTTTCAAATAATACAGGGTGTCCCGAAAATGACCCGCTAAGACAAACATTTAATATACAGTGTTGGCCATAATTTTTGCCACCACTGTAAAAAAAATCTAACCCTAAAACGCCTTTATTTTTCTTTATGAAATTTTGGATAAAAATACTTCAACTTAAATCTCAGTTTACGTGTTCGAGGGTTTTTCGAGAAAATATTTTTAAAGCCCTTTTTTTTAATAATAAAAAAAAGTTCGAAAAATAACTTTTAGGGTAATTTTTTTAAGTAAATAAAAAATATGCTGTTAAAGACCGTATTTTTGTTAGTACACCCTGAAAATTTTGTACAGATTAAACGAACAGTAACGAAGATACAGCGCTTCAAAGTCGGTAAAAATGGCCCCTTTTTGATTATTTTGCTGCATAGTTATGGCCAACACTGTATGTATTTAATGTTTCAAAAATGTTTTCAAGTTTTTTTAAACTTAATAAGTTTTTTACTTGACAACATTTTTGAAACAGTATTATAAAATTATTTTTATATTATCCTTTTTTATTCTTTATTATTAAATTACAACATAAAATAATAAAATTAAGGTTAAGGGTTATGGCGGGATTATACAACTTCATATCATTAATTTATTTCATAATTCACAATTTAGTGCATAAGCATAAAAGTTAAATCGTACTATCTGCTGTGAAACGGTTTATACAACGATTTAATGCGTAACTCACAATTTAGTGTTTATTGAATAACCTTGAAAGCAATGGCGGCTCGTAGGTTCTGGAAGAGGGTGGGCACAAAAAACTTACCTACTAATTTTTGTACATAAACTCCATTCTCCTATTTTTCATGCGAGAAACTGAATTTTCGTGTTTCTTAGCCCTCTCTGCGATGTGTTTTAAATCATTTAACCCATGTTTATTCCACGCACGTAATTTATTTTTTTGAAAATTAAGCACATAAATCAAAAAAGCTTATTGGTTACTGGACATCCGCATATCCACTCGTATTTTTCATAGATATTTCTGTTGAATACTCTATTGTAAGTTCGGCCTGTATTCGAAGATCGGGAATATGTCTTCAAGTGACATCGGGTTTTTTAAAAGATTTTGCACACAACTTACTTCCGCTGGTGCCATTATTGTTAATAAAAAATAAAGTTTATTTAAAAAACAAAACACGTAATTCACTTAAAACTTAAAAAACACAACGGTGCGCGGCGACAGAAAAGTTAGAAATCAAACAAACTGACACAGATACCAGCTCAGCTGTTAAAGAGACACTGCATTCGGTGCCCCAAATTGACAATATATTCGCGTACTGAAAGGATAACCGAAGATCACCGAATCATACTCGGAATAGGTACTTTTCAAACGGTGCCCCGGCAGCACGCGCTGAAGCGTTACGGAAAGAAGGTTTAAATTCAACCGTTTGAGCGGACGGAAGGAAGGTTTGAGACCATCCTTAAATAGTAATTACAATGGTGTTACGTAAAATTAAAAATGCAACAAATAACTTTTATTACTTTTTATCTTGTGCCCTTTAGAACCAGCCGCCACTGCTTGAAAGTTCAGAAAATTTAACTTTAATGAAATAAATTATGAATTATAAATAAGATTGAACAGCGCATGTGCCAACAATTTTTCTCTTAATTTTTTAAGTTTATAATTAATAATTAGTGTGTTTTGTATTTGTGCCTTAAAGTTCCTACAAAACCTGAGGGATTTTTGTATTATTTGTCACTTTTAATTATCAATATTGTCATTTGAAAAAATAAAATATACGAGCCCTGTCTCAGTGAAGTTGGCCCAACTAACAAAAATAGTTTTTTGAAGATATTTAGAATATTATACGGTAATTAATTAAAATTAACACATTGTTTTAATTAAATAAATAACGTTTATTAAATTTTTTACCGTTAAATTGTATTTTTAAGTACCTAATAAAAAATATTTAAAATTCTCTTATATTGTCCGTAAACCAAAAATTAAGAAAAAAAAATATTTTAAATAAATACATTTTAATTGGAAACTACCACTGGGTAACATCTCCTTTATGGCTTATTACTGCCTGTCTGCCTGTATACGTCTCGGCATGGTGTCAACCAACTTTTGAAAATCATCCGGCGTAAAATTATTCCAAATTTCTTGCAGGCGAGCACGCAACTCTAAGACGGTTCTTGCGGGCTGTTCTCTGAGCTTCTTTTTCATAATATGCTACAAAGTTTCTATAGGCGAAAGATCTGGACTACTAGATGTCCATTTTAAAAGTGAAAAATTATTTTCTATCATCCAAGCTTTCACTTTTTTAGCCGTATGACACGCTGCACCATCTTGTTGGAAGATGCATTCAATATCATTTAAACGCATTTCTTTAATTTGCGGTTTTAAGTTATTTTTTAGGATGTAAATATATTTATTAGCATTCATAATGCCCTCTAAAAAGTGTAATTTACCGATCCCCTTTAGCTGACATAGATCCCCAAATCATCACAGAGGCAGGAAACTTTACTTTTTGCTTAAGACAGTCATTGTGAAAGACTTCTGCTTTAGTTCTAATGACTCGGCTTCGATTATCACCAACGCAAACTTCAAATCTAGCTTCGTTACTCCATATAATTGAATCCCATTGACTTTGACACGAAGTCCTGTGCTCTTTTGCCCAGAGAAGTCTATTTTTCTTCTGTTTTTTTGTCAATAAAGGTTTTTCCTTTGCCTACAGATAGTAAAATTAAAAATAAATAAAAATCGTATACATTATAAGCAAACCTTGTAAGTTTTAAACCCAAGTTTTTGAGCAGCTCTATGACAGGTTTCAGCGATTTGTGCAGCTGATTTTCTTTAAATGCAAGTGAATTATCACTTTTCTTATTTTTTCAGAAACAGCTTTTCCTCGGGACATTATTATTTGTCAACCACACCGAAAGCATAAATATATACTGGAATGTCACTACCGACTTGCTAACAATTATTTAAATGTCAAATATTATCTTTACTTTTAGCACAGCCGACTTGCATTAAAAAAAATCTGGCCATCCAAGTTAATGCATTTTTGTCGATTTTTTTGTATTTTAACCAAACATCCAACTTAAAACTAAATAATATACATACACATATTTTTTAAAAACTTTTACAACATGAAGATTGACCAAGAATTACATATGATAAAAAATTGTTGGCTTTTCATTGCATAAAATTACAAATTTTATATTTTGAGTGGTTGGGCCAACTTCACTGAGACAGGGCTCGTATATTAAATTAATGAATTGTATAAACCAGATTTTAAAGTTATGTATTCTGTATTAAATTATGCATTAAAGTAACAATTGAGTTATGAAATAAATTGTCCACTAAATTATCAATTCTTGTATAAACATGCCTTTACATAAGTTAAATTTAAAAAAGTTATAAAAGAATGATTTAAAAACGTGCAATACCACCTTTGCATATTATTTTAGATCCAAGTCAACAGGGTGGTTATGGTGGCTATCCGCAGCAGCCAGGCGGATACCCGAACGCGCCCCCTCCGATGGGATATCCGGGCGGCCCCACTCCTCACCTCGGCTATCCGGGACAAGCGCCGCCGGCGGGCTTTGCTGGTCCTCAGGCCGGCGGCTTCGGGGCTTACGGAGGAGGATTCAACCAACAACCGCCAGTACCGCCACCGTACGCCGGCGGCGACCCCTACAATCAAGGTGAACAATATCCACTATCCGACCGTCGAACCGGTTTGTTTTTCTTTCTCTATTTGTGTTTCCATTATTTTCTTCACTTGAGAGTTTATCGCTTGATTTTTTAAGACCTTGTAAAAGCAAAAGCCGTCCGTTTAAGTTTGTTTGTTTATTTAAATATACAATTTGAAATTTTGATGCTTACGTAGTGTCTAATCAGAATTTCAATTACATTCTTTTGGAAATAACAAATGCAATTAATATTCTGATAAAAAGCCTACATTGCAAATTTAAAACCATACAGAAACTTGTTTCAAAATAATAATATAATAACTATACACTTCCAAATTCTTCCAAATTCTATAAACCTTTTTCTGCTTTGAAGTTTTGTATGTATTGGTTTGGTTAATGTTTTTTGTGTGAGCAAAAACAAAATTATATTATTTTTTAAATTGATGTACAATTTGATTTTTTTAGATTTATATAGCAAGTAGGATACTATAAGCCCGTTTTTTAAGATCATGTTTAAAATTTGGGAGAACTGCACATCATGACTTAGGAAGTGTCAGTTTTAATAATTTTACATAATGTTTGTAGTAGATATAATTTGGAAATATCTGAAAGGTTACTGATTTAAAGTTGTCATCAACACAAACATAAAATTAATTCCTCAATCATGTCAATTCTTATTTGATTTGTTTCCATAACAACTCTTTTAGATGTGGATTATTTTAGCTTATGAGACAGATTTTCCTAAATGCCTAATTTCTCAAAAATTACTTTTTAGAAAAAATATTTGTGAACAATTCAAAAAACTAATAATCAAATCACAAAAAAAATATGTACAGCAACTTTTGAGAAAAAAAGTATTTATACTGAAAACATAGCTTATGGCATGCCAGAATGTTATGTTCAAGAGATTATGTCATTGAGATGGTGAGTAACCACTCCAGTCCAGTCAAACAGTCGTTTACTTGCGTGCTGAGGAACTGTCTGTTTTTTTTTTCATAAATTGATATGATGAAACCAAATTTGAACAACCTGATTTTTTTTACAAAGATATACGCAAAAAAACAGTTGTTTATTAGTGAATATCTTGGCCCCCGTATACTGCACAAGAAAAAATAAAAAATCATTAATTTTATAAAATTTCCCATAATTTTTGTCTAAGTGTTTATACAAATAAGTTAAAAAATACAGTTTGTTAAATTAAAATTTTACGATAAATTATTACGATTAATATTTTGTAGCCCTATTACTTTTCTAAAATATAAAAAATAGAGCTGAGTCAGGAAAAACGAAACCATCTTCACTTGTCGACACCATTTCGTGCTGGTGTACGATTCAATGAAGCGCAACGTGCGGCTGTCGAAAGGCCGGGTTAAATGTTTGGCAGTTTGAAAATTTTCTTGCAGGAAAATATGTTTAAACTTTAGATCGATTGCCATTGAGTTGTAACGTGTCAAAAAGACTCTTAGTTTATTTTACGAATTTGTTACTGTTTTGCTAATAAAACTAAAACTTACTTATCGGCACTTTATTATTTAGTTTAATTTCCATACTTTACTTGCTGTACTACTTTTATTTTCTCTATTTTGGTTTATTTTCTTAACTTATAATATATTTTAAGTGGTATCGTACAGTATAATTTTTCTGTCCTATTTTTGGTTTTGCCGGTAATGCCTGGTTAGTTTTATGACCTTTTCTGTCCTTACTAAAATTTTTATTACATTTATTATTATTGTCTAGTTCTACTACTTAATTTACCTTGTTTGTCTTCTGTTTTCTACCGTTGTTTTAAGTTACATTTTGCAGGGACCTTGGTTTTAACATGACTCTTTTCGTTTCCTAAGAGATTGGGTTTGGTTTTAGGAATACCTTCGTTGAGTTATTATTTGTATTTGCCTTGGTTGTCTATATTTTATAATCGTGTTTTGATATAGCCATTTTCTGTTTACATTACATCTGTCAAGTAGCAGTGTTGCCAACGTTATTTTAATCGCACACCTAGATTTTATCTGTGGGTTGCAGACTGTAAATTCAGTGTTCCCAACGTTAAAGTTATGTAACGTTCCTGCTGAGGTGACGCTTGGTTTCCTTGACATTTGACATTTGGCGTTAGGCTTGTGAGCGTGTGCAACAGGTGCTTTGAAGATTTGGTTTTATTTCCACCATCCGTTCTTATTTGCGGGATTTGTCTTCAGAGAAACCTATATTGGATCCATTTAGACCGTTATCGTTTTGGATTTTGTATCTTTGGTCTATGGATTTAGCGGATTCGTCCGGATTTAAAAAGCACATGCTCTAGTGATCAAGCCAGCGTCATTTCACACTACACCGCACATAACATCGTTGAATAACATACCACGGCTATAACTTGACATCGTTGTACAATAATTTATTCAACCCGGCGTAAGTACAAATAATTTCTTTGGTAGACCTATTCCATACCTTTACTTTTCTCTTTTAGGGTTTTCTGTTTTTGTTTTGGTTTTGTTTTTGGGTTTTCATAACCCTATTCGTGTAACTTTTACACAACTTGGACACGACGGATTATCTCCCCGATATCCACCCCTATTGTGACCCTTGTTCCGGGGCATACACTACCGCGAAGGTACCCGGACAAGCCTAGTTTTTCTCCTGGATTCGACGACTGTGAGTTGGCCGAGGTAGGACTGACATCGACGTCTGCCATCTCACCCATCACCCGATTAAGACACTTTCCCCGGATTTGACGACTACCCGATTGTGACAACGCCTGGCAGCAGGATAAGTTTATCTCCATTTTATTCTTTACTTTATTGTGTGGTATTTATACCGGAGTTTACGTTATTTTGTTATATGATTATTTTTGTGAGGTTTGTTGTTCTGTGTTAAGGCTGACCAGCTTTTGCCCGTATAACCAGCTGCTGGTTGGTTTTGATCCAGACCAACGGCCAATTTATTTTTGACTTTCTTTATTTTTATTGGTCAGTATTGTTCGTTGTGTTGCGAACTGATTTGGTTAAGCTTGACCGTATAACCAGGTTTACCCAGATCATGTTGCAACCCTCGGGTTGCTAACCTTGTTACACCTACAAGCTTAACTTGTAGTGTCACCTCATTTTTGTCTTGCCCTGGTTGCCTTAAGCACCAGTTTTACTTACTTTTTGTTTTGCCCTGGTAGCCTTCAGCTACAGAGTGGTATTTTACTTGCAGAATATATAGATTGTTTTTGTAGTTCGTAACTACCAAAAGGGTTGTAAACCCAAGTGATCACTTCGGTATTATTTTTGGTATTTATCCTAAACACAAGTATAATCACTTATTGCGTTATTTTAAATTATATATCAGTAATAAACCTTTAGTTATATCTATTTCGTGATTTTCTCTTTCTACGTTTTAAGGGCCACTTAAATCACGTGGCGCCTACGAACATCCCTTTATAACCCACACCCCTGAGCAACTATAGAGTCGGGCAGAGCCCTTAAAACTAGATATTATTTTAGATAGCGCCCACTGAAAAGTGAACCGTGACAAATTGGCTCCCAACGTGGGGCCAACTTTTTTTTTTTAATTAAGAAGATTTTTTTTTTATATATCGAATTTTTTTATTAAGCATTACCTTATATATTTTATTATTATTATTAACTGTATTGTTTTAAATACTTAGTATCTAAACTTATCTTGACTGCCATACCTGATTTTGACTATATTACCTTATCTTAAGTATATTGCCTTAGGGTATTACCTTATTTTATCTTTATTATCGTATCTTAAGGTGTTACCTTATCTTAAGATATTACCTTATCTTATTTGTATTACCTTATCTTAAGATATAACCTTATCTTAAGATATTACCTTCATTTTTTTTTATAAATTTTTGTCTCGCAAGTAATTGCGCTTTACTTTTTGTTGAATATTGTACTAGGGTTTAGTGTTGAGCACTACAATCGTAGTTTTTTTTTATTATTTCATTTCGGGTCGTTTCGTTGTAGTAGTTGGCTTTATCTTCCACCTTCATCATGTCTATTCCCAAAAGTGACATCAATCGACTTAATGTCACTGAACTTACTCATGAATTGGCTATCAGAGGTTTAAAGGATGTCGGAAATGTTGTTCAAATGCGAAAAACCTTACGTACTTTGTTAAAGGTTGAGAAATCTGATAATCCCCTTACCTACCCTATCTATCCTTTTTCCTTTGATGACGATAAGGCAGCCTTAGAAGCTAAACATGAGGAGATAACCACACTGTTAGGAGCATTTGAAGGTATTGCTGGAACTCTTCATGATAAAATTTTGGCTAAACTTAACTTTGCTCTACGACATGCCAATAGTTCCATTCCAACTACGCAACCTGAGAAGGACGAAAAGTTCAAGTATATAGTGAAGTTTCTAGGATTAAAATCTGACTTTGATTCAAAGGTAAAGCGACACAACCGCCGACTGCTTAATGATTCTTTGGGGGCACCAGATTTGGACTTAGTAGATGGGAGTGATAGCTCTGAAGATGAAGCTAGTGAAGAAGAAGCTGTTTCCGTTCAACACCAGTCATTTGTTGCCCCTTCATCGAAAACAGTTCCTATTTCCAAATGGAATATAAAATTTTCTGGAGAGTCAACCGGAATTTCTCTAAGCGCTTTCTTAATAAGGATTGAAGAACTGAAACACGCTAGAGGAGCAACAAATGAAGATCTCTATCAGTCTGCTATCGACCTGTTTGAGGGAAAAGCTCTAATCTATTACCGTGCGATGAAGAAGCAAGCAACTAACTGGACATCTTTGGTTACCATGCTACGTAAGGAATTTCAGCCTCCTGATTTTAATGATAGACTCTTTGAAGAAATTAAAGTTCGTACGCAGGGACCACAAGAATCGATGGGTATGTTTGTTGCCAGCTTGGAGAATATGTTTGACCGGCTCACTATTTCCGTTCCTCCTTCTACTCGTCTGAAGATTATGTTGAAGAATATAAGCCCTTTCTATCAAACGCAATTGGGTCTTCATAAAATTGCAACTAAGGAAGAATTGATGGATCTTGGAAAATTAGTAGAAGCAAGGAAGATTGCCGTGGAT